TTCATTGGCCAAGGATATAACCATTTGCTCACATAAATAGTCACTTCATTGGCCAAGGATATAACCATTTGCTCACATAAATAGTCACTTCATTGGCCAAGGATATAACCATTTGCTCACATAAATAGTCACTTCATTGGCCAAGGATATAACCATTTGCTCACATAAATAGTCACTTCATTGGCCAAGGATATAACCATTTGCTCACATAAATAGTCACTTCATTGGCCAAGGATATAACCATTTGCTCACATAAATAGTCACTTCATTGGCCAAGGATATAACCATTTGCTCACATAAATAGTCACTTCATTGGCCAAGGATATAACCATGTGCTCACATAAATAGTCACTTCATTGGCCAAGGATATAACCATTTGCTCACAGCGTCGACGATAAAAAAAAATGTGTTCTCGTTTAATCACTATAATTATTGTTCTTGTGTGACTGTTTCTTGTTCTTGTGTGACTGTTTCTTGTTCTTGTGTGACTGTTTCTTGTTCTTGTGTGACTGTTTCTTGTTCTTGTGTGACTGTTTCTTGTTCTTGTGTGACTGTTTCTTGTTCTTGTGTGACTGTTTCTTGTTCTTGTGTGACTGTTTCTTTGTTCTTGTGTGACTGTTTCTTGTTCTTGTGTGACTGTTTCTTGTTCTTGTGTGACTGTTTCTTGTTCTTGTGTGACTGTTTCTTGTTCTTGTGTGACTGTTTCTTGTTCTTGTGTGACTGTTTCTTGTTTTCTTGTGTGACTGTTTCTTGTTCTTGTGTGACTGTTTTCTTGTTCTTTGTGTGACTGTTTCTTGTTCTTGTGTGACTGTTTCTTGTTCTTGTGTGACTGTTTCTTGTTCTTGTGTGACTGTTTCTTGTTCTTGTGTGACTGTTTCTTGTTCTTGTGTGACTGTTTCTTGTTCTTGTGTGACTGTTTCTTGTTCTTGTGTGACTGTTTCTTGTTCTTGTGTGACTGTTTCTTGTTCTTGTGTGACTGTTTTCTTGTTCTTGTGTGACTGTTTCTTGTTCTTGTGTGACTGTTTCTTGTTCTTGTGTGACTGTTTCTTGTTCTTGTGTGACTGTTTCTTGTTCTTGTGTGACTGTTTCTTGTTCTTGTGTGACTGTTTCTTGTTCTTGTGTGACTGTTTCTTGTTCTTGTGTGACTGTTTCTTGTTCTTGTGTGACTGTTTCTTGTTCTTGTGTGACTGTTTCTTGTTCTTGTGTGACTGTTTCTTGTTCTTGTGTGACTGTTTCTTGTTTCTTGTGTGACTGTTTCTTGTTCTTGTGTGACTGTTTCTTGTTCTTGTGTGACTGTTTTCTTGTTCTTGTGTGACTGTTTCTTGTTCTTGTGTGACTGTTTCTTGTTCTTGTGTGACTGTTTCTTGTTCTTGTGTGACTGTTTCTTGTTCTTGTGTGACTGTTTCTTGTTTCTTGTGTGACTGTTTCTTGTTCTTGTGTGACTGTTTCTTGTTCTTGTGTGACTGTTTCTTGTTCTTGTGTGACTGTTTCTTGTTCTTGTGTGACTGTTTCTTGTTCTTGTGTGACTGTTTCTTGTTCTTGTGTGACTGTTTTCTTGTTCTTGTGTGACTGTTTCTTGTTCTTGTGTGACTGTTTCTTGTTCTTGTGTGACTGTTCTTGTTCTTGTGTGACTGTTTCTTGTTCTTGTGTGACTGTTTCTTGTTCTTGTGTGACTGTTTCTTGTTCTTGTGTGACTGTTTCTTGTTCTTGTGTGACTGTTTCTTGTTCTTGTGTGACTGTTTCTTTGTTCTTGTGTGACTGTTTCTTGTTCTTGTGTGACTGTTTCTTGTTCTTGTGTGACTGTTTCTTGTTCTTGTGTGACTGTTTCTTGTTCTTGTGTGACTGTTTCTTTGTTCTTGTGTGACTGTTTCTTGTTCTTGTGTGACTGTTTCTTGTTCTTGTGTGACTGTTTCTTGTTCTTGTGTGACTGTTTCTTGTTCTTGTGTGACTGTTTCTTGTTCTTGTGTGACTGTTTCTTGTTCTTGTGTGACTGTTTCTTGTTCTTGTGTGACTGTTTCTTGTTCTTGTGTGACTGTTTTTTTGTTCTTGTGTGACTGTTTCTTGTTCTTGTGTGACTGTTTCTTGTTCTTGTGTGACTGTTTCTTGTTCTTGTGTGACTGTTTCTTGTTCTTGTGTGACTGTTTCTTGTTCTTGTGTGACTGTTTCTTGTTCTTGTGTGACTGTTTCTTGTTCTTGTGTGACTGTTTCTTGTTCTTGTGTGACTGTTTCTTGTTCTTGTGTGACTGTTTCTTGTTCTTGTGTGACTGTTTCTTGTTTCTTGTGTGACTGTTTCTTGTTCTTGTGTGACTGTTTCTTGTTCTTGTGTGACTGTTTTATTGTTCTTGTGTGACTGTTTTCTTGTTCTTGTGTGACTGTTTCTTGTTCTTGTGTGACTGTTTCTTGTTCTTGTGTGACTGTTTCTTGTTCTTGTGTGACTGTTTCTTGTTCTTGTGTGACTGTTTATTGTTCTTGTGTGACTGTTTCTTGTTCTTGTGTGACTGTTTCTTGTTCTTGAAATGTGTCCACACTGCTCTGTTGTGTCTGCTCTGTTGTGTCTGCTCTGTTGTGTCTACTCTGTTGTGTCTGCTCTGTTGTGTCTGCTCTGTTGTGTCTGCTCTGTTGTGTCTGCTCTGTTGTGTCTGCTCTGTTGTGTCTGCTCTGTTCCTTCTCCTTGTACTGATTTGTTTAAGGGTTCAACCTGGATACCCACCTAGTTTCTGAGACTAGTTAGTAAGGTGGGAGGGGCTGTGAAATAGCTCCCTTCACGATAGTTCTTCATTGATCTAACCAACCTAGCACCCTACCAACCTTTCAACACACACATATGTATTCATGCAACCAGTCTATCACCCTACCAACCAACCTATCACCCCACCAACAAACCTATCACCCCACCAACCAACCTATCACCCCACCAACCAGCCAAACAACCATTCATCCATTCAGCGAACTAAACATGTACCTATATTCTGTCAATCTGCTATAAACAAAAACATAACATTGTGTGTGTGTGTGGGGGGGGGGGGGGTAAATTGTCTTTGTTACCTAATTAGGCATTAAGTAACATTTAACATGGTTCAGTCTAGTCACCCGACTATAGTGTAATCTTGAACAGATATTTCATTTACTGGAGTCACCCGCCATAGTGTTATCTTGAAATGATATTTCATGTACTCGAGTCACCCGCCATAGTGTAATCTTGAAGTGATATTTCATGTACTCGAGTCACCCGCCATAGTGTTATCGTGAAGTGATATTTCTCGGATAATGGTCAGACAAGGTCCTCTTTAGATGTGGAATTTACCGTTTCACTGAAACGGGACCCCAAAAAAAACCTGACAATGGAAGCAAGTACAGAGGAACGAGTAGACCCTTACAGTTACCCATATACAAAAAAGAATTCTCCAATTGTGACATCAGAGGGGCGGGGCCAAGAAAAAGACTCTCTCACCGATCTCTATTCTAACGTCTTTACAAACAACATCAGCAACAACAACAACACCAACAACAACACCAACAACAACAATGAAGTCGCACATGCCATTAAACCCCACGGACGTAGAAGACCATACTACGGTGAAGACAAAGAAGATATGAGGACAGCTGCTTCTGACAGTTCCAGACAGTCTCTGATCAATGACTGGTACGACAGGAACAGAAGTAAGAACAATAGACACGTCCTAGACAATGTAATGGCCAAGAAATATTCATCAGAGGCCAAGAAAATACCTAGCGTCAGAAGGAAGTATTACGAACTGAGAGGTAAGTGGGTCGACAATAAGTTGGCATCGGTGTTGAAGGAGGTCTCTGTAGTCGAAGGGGAAACGCTGGGCCTTTACTGTTGCTGCTGTTGTTGCTGTTACTGTTGTTGCTGTTACGGTTGTTGCTGTTGTATTTGTGGTTGTTTTTGTTGCTGCTGTTGCCGTTACTGTTTTCGCTGTTATAGCTGTCGTTGTTGCTGCTGTTGCCGTTACTGTTGTCGTTGTTATAGCTGTCGTTGTTGCTGCTGTTGCCGTTACTGTTGTCGCTGTTATAGCTGTCGTTGTTGCTACTGTTGCCGTTACTGTTGTCGCTGTTATAGCTGTCGTTGTTGCTGCTGTTGCCGTTACTGTTGTCGCTGTTATAGCTGTCGTTGTTGCTGCTGTTGCCGTTACTGTTGTCGCTGTTATAGCTGTCGTTGTTGCTGCTGCTACTGATGTTACAGGCATTGCTGTTATACCAGCTTCTGTCGCTGCTGTTGTTTTCGTAAGTTAATGAATTCATTAGGATTGAACAGTAAGAAATGAACAAAATAAACGGTTCCCATTCAAGAATGATGTCAGGAAGAGTGATGTTAGCAAGAATGATGTCAGCAAGAATGAAGTCAGCAAGAATGATGTCGGCAAGATTGCTGTCAGCTGTCCTGTCACTCAGTCATCAAGTTAAACCAGAGGCCTCAACTGTTCTGTAATTCTTCTTCATCGTTCTGCTTTGGGTTAATCGGTTGTAAAGCCCGGCAGAAAGTTATGGTTGTTTGTCCACTTCTGGGCTTTGTCCTTGTTCCAAACTCGAGATTTGCGTGCACATTCGTTTGACAGATCCTGCATAATTTATTATGCAGACTGTTGTTTCCTCAAATCTCAGCAGATTCTCTTTGGCTTCAAAGAATTCACCCCTAAATGGAGGCCTTTTACGACATGCAAAGTAACTTGTAGTACAGTCTGGGTTTAGCCACTGCGGCAGTTACATACCCATAATTGCTTCAGTGGGAGTCGCCGTGGCGGAGCGGTTAGACGCTTACCTGCGGATCGAAATGTCGTTTGGTTCGCTCAAAATGACCTTGGCTCCCATCTGGCAATCCTAGTTTCAGCTTCATAGCAAACGGGTCACCCCACAGTTGCTCCGCTCCTGTGCCAACGAAAAACAAACGCAGCTCACAGTATCACGCCATGCACTCAGCTAAGAAGCTGGGTGAAGGTCGACCCAGCCTTGACTGGGTAGCACGTGCAGTCCAGAGAAGTAAAGGCGGCCTGCATAATGCTGACCACATCATCCATCTTGTGCCGAAATGTCTATAAAATATAGGTCTAGCCCCATATGCCCTCTGCGCCTAAAATCTTCGAAAAGGGTTCTCTACTTTTTACTTTTTTAATTGCTTTAGTTTCTAGCAAATGGTTCTATTTTGTGTTAGAGTAACACCACTGGTTGTGAAGCGGCCCATTGTTGACGTCTGCGAGTTGCCATAGTGCCCAACAAATGTTGCTGTCTTGTAATTGTATGCCCGTGTTGTGCCGTTGCCTGTTAACGATGGCCGCCTTCCATTGTTGGAATACTGTCGATAGAAGTAGGCGTCCGTCAACCAGCTGGCCAGGTCTCAGCGACAGTACTGGCACTCTTGTCAGCCTGGGAATTTTCTCTCCCACACACTCACGTGTGTAAGCCTGACTGGTTATGTAATATGTCACTCAGTCAGTTGACGATCTGGCACGTTTCTCCATGGGTAGCTTTTCAATAACTTTTTTCGTTTGTCAACAATCACCGCTCAAAAATTCCTTCGTCAAAAAGCAGATTTCGACAGTATGTTCTTGAGGTTTTGTCAGTTCTCCCTATCAGCTCATGGAAACATTCTGTGAAAACGTTAATGAAATAGAATATTGAGATATTTCAACTAGGACATGGGTTGTCTTAACTGACATCCTTTGTCATCTGTGTGGTGGAGAATGGTAACACACTACCCTGCTACCGTGGAGGCGGCAGTTAGAGACCTTGACATGTGACACAGTCCTTAATTCTGACAGATCGAGTAGATAACTGTGTCAATACGATGTTTCGTCTAGAAAAGTCGTTTTTCAATTGCATAATCAGGTTAAATGAGAAACCTCCTTATGTTGCCAGGCAGCTTCTCCTCTGCTCAACTCTGATCACGTGACTGAAGACGATTATCCCTTCAGCGTTATCCATGACAGTGGTTTTCATCTTCTGGTTCGCGGAACAAATGTGAAGATTTCCTGATATCGTTTAGGAAGATTAAAGGGGTGCGCTACATCTCAATATCTCTCTCTCTCTCTCTCTCTCTCTCTCTCTCTCTCTCTCTCTCTCTCTCTCTCTCTCTCTCTCTCTCTCTCTCTCTCTCTCTCTCTCTCTCTCTCTCTCTGTTGTGCTTTGGTCTTCTCATTTCGATTTACTTTTCTGAATTACTTTTGAAAAGTATGGCAAATGTTCGATAAAAAGGCTCTTGTCTTATCTATTTGGAAACCATTGATCCATCCCACACTGATCAGGCATCTTTTGAATGATGCTGGAATGGGCCAACAGGGAGGTTGTTCCGTCGTCATTGATGAGGAAAACACAAGAAGCAGGTGGCTGATTTAGGACTTCCATGGTGAGGCGTTCGCTGAAACAATGGGAAAATATGATTTTGGCATTTACGTATAACCAATACATTGACGCGCTTTCATAATCGTAATCATAATAGTAATCATAATCGTAATCATAATCGTAATCATAATCGTAATCATAATCGTAATCATAATCGTAATCGTAAAAACCAAACACAAATGTCAAATGTGGTCATCTTTCAGTTGCCAAAAGGCCTGCTTTCTTGAGGACGGTTTCTTTGCGGTCTGATTCAGTTCGATTCGTTGTGGCGATCATTTCTCGCCTAAGTTCGGGTGTTTGCTGCTGCGTCATGTCTACTCGATTAGGCTTGGCTGGTGTAGTCCGGCTTTTTGGGAGTGGGTGGGGCAGCCCTAAGAAGGGCTGACATTTGCCTGGGGCGGCCTGGAACGGGGGTAGGCGGGGTCACATCGTGGCTGTCTATCAGGGCTGGCGATCGTTGTTGAGCTGTCCGTGAAGGTGGCGGCTTGTTTGGTGGGTCCTCTTTTGTGGCTTTAAAACTAGCGATAACCTCTTCTATTGGGCGTGCTATGTTTCCATTGTTTTTTCTTTTGCGCGCGAAGTTGATTCAGGGCTGCGTTTAGTTCGTCGTAGAATCTTTTATGTTTTTCGCTCCTTTCTACGTCTTCGGGTGTTCGGTCTTTCTTCTCGAGCTCCTCCCATTTGTAGATGATAGAATAGCGGCTGCCGTCGTCGTCCATCTCTAGCTTGTGCGGGTACACTTGTTTGTTGAAGTCTTCAAGCATCGCTTGAAGGTCCGCCTCGCAGTCTACCCTACCGGTTGTCGTTTTCTTGACTCGCTCGCTGGGTGTGGCATCATCTTTGGTTGCGCATTGAGTAGACGGCTGCAAGGTAGCCTCTGTTTCGGCCCTCTCTTTCTCCTCAATTGTGTGTCTTGTTTGAGTCATTTCTGTCTGCAGCTTTTGGGTGGCCTCCTTGAGTAGGGTCACATCATTTGAGAGTAGTTCCTCGCTGGCTCTGGTTGCTTTGTAGTTGTTCTGCTCTTCTTCGGCAGCCCTCTCTTTTTGCGTCTGAATGCATGACAGCACGGCCTTGATATCTAATTTGAATTGAGTTATGTCAGCGATTTCCGCCTCCATACGTTTCTGGGTCTTGAGTAAGTCTATGATTAGGCTTCGTAGCCCTGTCATCTCCTCTCTTTCCTCGGCTCGCTGGACTTCGGATGCTGCTTTTTTCCCTCTAAGCGATTCAATTTCGGCTTTCATTTGCGCTATTTGGTTCTGTAGCTTAGTTGTTTCTGCTGCAGCGAATGAAGGTTGGGCTATTCTGGGCGCTTCGTACCTCGTTCTGTCTACTGGCGGAGCAATCTTGGTGACGGCAGTGGTCATTCCTCTCTTGATGCCCTTTAGGTACGGGCATCCAAGGTACCTGGCGCTGTGTCCACCTGAGCAATTGGAGCACTTTCTGCTGGGGTTAGGCTTCCTGAAGTCTGGATCAGCTTTTGCCAGGAGGCACTCTTTGAAGTCGTGTGGGCCAGAACAGTGCCTACACAATGGGCTGCTGCGGCAGGTCGCGGCGGTGTGCCACGCCCTATTGCAGCGTGAGCACTAAATGATGTCACCGCTATAGGCTCCAGGCTGCTGCTTTGGTACTGGCTTTAGGTTTTGGCTCCACGATAGGGGAGGCATCAGGTGCTGGCGCCACGATGGGGGCGGCTTCTGATGTTGGTATCCCTCTCTTAGGTAGGGGAGGCGCCACGAAAGGGGCGCCTTCCTCTGATGCTGGCAGAGAAGCTGCAGCGATGGCGTCCACGTAGCCGTGGTTAGATTTGGCCGGCATCTTCTTTAGCTTCTGTGCGGCGGCTTGAGCCTGTTTTTTTCCCCATGTCGGAAAAAATGCTGTAAATGGCGATGTATATCGAGAGCTAGATCCCTGCAGAGTCGGCAAGCCTTGTTAAATGTCCTGAGAAGGACACCAAGGGTGCTTTCCCAAACAGTTCACAAGACAATCGTTTTGCAAATGGTGCGTACAACAGGCTGCTAAAACACCACAAGCGACGCCGACTACGATACTACGATACTGACTCAGCCGAATATCTAGCGAATCAGTGTCAAGTATCTAGTCACGAATGGAGATTGAGCGATCGAACGGAAGACGAGAGGTGCTGACGACTGGGCTGTCTGCGCTCGAAATGTTGTGATGTTGAATGATATTGGCGCGCTTTATTATGTGTTAGTGTTATGTATGTCAATTCTGTCCTGAGTGCGCGATGAGATACAGCGAAATAAGTCTGGCAGTAAATTGTTTCAAAATCAAAATGCGGTTGGGTGTTTGTAATATTGTTTTGAGAAAGCACAGTGAGTGTAGCAGGAATTGGTGATACACGTCAGGACTGAGCCATCCAAGCTGTGTTTGTGTACAGCTGTCACCAAGGACACACTGACAAACACACATAGACCTCCATTGTTGTTTGTTCTCACAGATACATGAAGTGACAGCAGCACCACGTAAAATGTTGAGTGCTACAGGTTGTGTAGAGAAAAAAAAACACAATATACGTTTTATGTTCTAGACTTGATAAACAAAATGTGAGGCCATTCTACCCTCTCCGCTTGATTGGTATGGCTGTAGAACTAGATCAATCTCACACACATACACAAGACACAGAGACACGAGGACCGGCGCTGAGGGAAAACATGACACCAGACAAGTAGATCCTCGTGTTGAGAATACGATAAACTTTTATCGTCGATACACATAACAGAACAGTTGGGTCAGAGAGGAACACTAGCATACATAGAGCATATGATTGGTTCATGGACTAAACACAAACACACAATTCCAAACTGCAGGGTAGAATAGATAGAGTCAAATTTAGACTGCGGGCTGGCACAATGATTAGAAGAGAAATCTATAAAAACAATCTTTGTTGTCTGTGGTAGAGACGGGCATATGAACGGGATCTTCCGCTATTTCTGTTGAACAGGCTACAAACAGGACCAGAAAACGTGCCCACATGCCAGTATTCTTGCCTGTCGACATAGAAGTCCGGGTTTAATCCCCGGAACCAGCACGGTTTTTCTTTTCAAAACATCTCTAGGCACCACCCGGTCTAATAATCCTGAACACAATATCACTTCATTAGTTGTATGGGACTTGCTGGTAAAGGAAAAATCGATCATTAATGAGACAGACTACCTAACCAAAACTCTTGTCAACTACAATGTGTGTAAGTCTAAGTGTACCCAGGGGCCCATCTTGCTGTTAAGACGGCTCTGTTAATGAGACAAATATATCATGTGACTGAGATAAAATGCAGTTTCTGGCTTCATCCACAGATTTGGAAGATGTCCTGCGAGACAAAATCATCACCATCGTCCGGGCTAATGGGATCTCGGAGACCAGAGTGGTTCCGCTGTCCGCCAAGATCACCCAGGCTGTCCGAGATGACGTCATCGACGCCCACCGCCAAGCCTCGCCGCAGGTGACCTCCAACCTCAAGGAGGCCGTCAACAAACACCTGGACCCGATGCTCTTCAACAAAGCTGACGTCACCGATCTCCGGGACGCCCACAAACCTAGTGACGCCAAGAAACTCTCTAACCTGGTGCTGCTGAGAATCGGTCAGTATATTACTGAGAATTGTTGGTCAGTTTATTACTGAGAATTGTTGGTCAGTATATTACTGAGAATTGTTGGTCAGTTTACTACTGAGAATTGTTGGTCAGTATATTACTGAGAATTGTTGGTCAGTATATTACTGAGAATTGTTGGTCAGTATATTACTGAGAATTGTTGGTCAGTATATTACTGAGAATTGGTCAGTATACTACTGAGAATTGTTGGTCAGTTTACTACTGAGAATTGTTGGTCAGTATATTACTGAGAATTGTTGGTCAGTATATTACTGAGAATTGTTGGTCAGTATATTACTGAGAATTGTTGGTCAGTATATTACTGAGAATCGGTCAGTATACTACTGAGAATTGTTGGTCAGTATATTACTGAGAATTGTTGGTCAGTATATTACTGAGAATTGTTGGTCAGTATATTACTGAGAATTGTTGGTCAGTTTATTACTGAGAATTGTTGGTCAGTATATTACTGAGAATTGTTGGTCAGTATATTACTGAGAATTGTTGGTCAGTATATTACTGAGAATTGTTGGTCAGTATATTACTGAGAATTGTTGGTCAGTATATTACTGAGAATCGGTCAGTATACTACTGAGAATTGTTGGTCAGTATATTACTGAGAATTGTTGGTCAGTATATTACTGAGAATTGTTGGTCAGTTTATTACTGAGAATTGTTGGTCAGTTTACTACTGAGAATTGTTGGTCAGTTTACTACTGAGAATTGTTGGTCAGTTTACTACTGAGAATTGTTGGTCAGTTTACTACTGAGAATTGTTGGTCAGTTTACTACTGAGAATTGTTGGTCAGTTTACTACTGAGAATTGTTGGTCAGTATACTACTGAGAATTGTTGGTCAGTTTACTACTGAGAATTGTTGGTCAGTATATTACTGAGAATTGTTGGTCAGTATATTACTGAGAATTGTTGGTCAGTATATTACTGAGAATTGTTGGTCAGTATATTACTGAGAATTGTTGGTCAGTATATTACTGAGAATTGTTGTTGGTCAGTTTACTACTGAGAATTGTTGTTGGTCAGTTTACTACTGATAATTGTTGGTCAGTTTACTACTGAGAATTGGTCAGTATATTACTGAGAATTGTTGTTGGTCAGTTTACTACTGAGAATTGTTGGTCAGTATACTACTGATAATTGTTGGTCAGTTTACTACTGAGAATTGGTCAGTATATTACTGAGAATTGGTCAGTATACTACTGAGAATTGGTCAGTATATTACTGAGAATTGGTCAGTATACTACTGATAATTGGTCAGTATACTACTGATAATTGGTCAGTATACTACTGAGAATTGGTCAGTATATTACTGAGAATTGGTCAGTATACTACTGATAATTGGTCAGTATACTACTGATAATTGGTCAGTTTACTACTGAGAATTGGTCAGTATACTACTGATAATTGGTCAGTATATTACTGAGAATTGGTCAGTATACTACTGATAATTGGTCAGTTTACTACTGAGAATTGGTCAGTATACTACTGATAATTGGTCAGTATACTACTGAGAATTGGTCAGTATACTACTGATAATTGGTCAGTTTACTACTGAGAATTGTTCAGTATACTACTGAGAATTGGTCAGTATATTACTGAGAATTGGTCAGTATACTACTGATAATTGGTCAGTATACTACTGATAATTGGTCAGTTTACTACTGAGAATTGGTCAGTATACTACTGAGAATTGGTCAGTATACTACTGAGAATTGGTCAGTATATTACTGAGAATTGGTCAGTTTAGTACTGAGAATTGGTCAGTTTACTACTGAGAATTGGTCAGTTTACTACTGAGAATTGGTCAGTATATTACTGATAATTGGTCAGTATACTACTGAGAATTGGTCAGTATATTACTGAGAATTGGTCAGTATATTACTGAGAATTTGTCAGTATACTACTGATAATTGGTCAGTGTACTACTGAGAATTGGTCAGTATTTTACTGATAATTGGTCAGTATACTACTGAGAATTGGTCAGTTTACTACTGAGAATTGGTCAGTTTACTACTGCCCACCACTAGCACTATTAATATTACTGTTACCACCAACACTACAACCACTACTTCTGCTACTGCTGCTTCTTACTGCTACAAGTGCTGCTGCTGCTACTACATAAAACAACAACAATAGCACAACAATAACTACTACTACTACTACAAATACTACTAGTACTGCTGCTGCTACTGCTGCTGCTACTGCTACTACTACTACTACTACTTCTACAATGTCATTTTTTCCTTCTGATGCTACTTGTTCAAACTACTACAAGAACAGCTATTACTACTACTGCTACTACTACTACTACTACTACTACTACTACTACTACTACTACTACTACTACTACTACTACTACTACTACTACTACTACTACTACTACTACTACTACTACTACTAATACTACTAATACCACTACTACTACTAGAACTACTACAACAACAACTACTACTGCTGCTGCTGCTACCACTACTACTTAAAGCAACAACACAACAACAACACAACAACAACACAACAACAACAACTAACTAGAAAAACTACCTACAACATTAACAACTACTACTACAATTACGACTACTACTTTGGTAATTATAATTATTAATTCTCCTGCTACTGTCGCTGATGTTACTGTGCAGCTATTACCTATATTACTACTTTACTACTATTACTCTTTTATAACTACCCCTATTACTATTCTTGTACTGTTTTTGCTACTACTAATACTAATTTTATTACCACTACTTCTACTGTTACTGATCGTGCTGCAGTTACTACCTCTACTAGCACCACCACTACTACTTCTTCTAATCTGATGACAGAATGACTGACTTGATGTTTGCTGGAATCTCACCTGATCTGTGACTGAATGTCTGACTTGATGTTTGCTTGATATCTCACCTGATCTGTGACTGAATGTCTGACTTGATGTTTGCTGGAATCTCACCTGATCTGTGACTGAATGTCTGACTTGATGTTTGCTGGAATCTCACCTGATCTGCGACTGAATGTCTGACTTGATGTTTGCTTAATATCTCACCTGATCTGTGACTGAATGTCTGACTTGATGTTTGCTGGAATCTCACCTGATCTGTGACTGAATGTCTGACTTGATGTTTGCTCGCTATCTCACCTGATCTGTGACTGAATGTCTGACTTGATTTTTTCTTGATATCTCACCTGATCTGTGACTGAATGTCTGACTTGATGTTTGCTGGAATCTCACCTGATCTGTGACTGAATGTCTGACTTGATGTTTGCTCGCTATCTCACCTGATCTGTGACTGAATGTCTGACTTGATGTTTGCTTGATATCTCACCTGATCTGTGACTGAATGACTTGATGTTTGCTCGCTTTCTCACCTGATCTGTGACTGAATGTCTGACTTGATATTTGCTTGATATCTCACCTGATCTGTGACTGAATGACTGACTTGATGTTTGCTTGATATCTCACCTGATCTGTGACTCAATGTCTGACTTGATGTTTGCTCGACATCTCACCTGATCTGTGACTGAATGACTTGATTTTTGCTCGCTATCTCACCTGATTTGTGACTGAATGTTTGACTTGATGTTTGCTTGCTATCTCACCTGATCTGTGACTGAAATTCTCATCTGATTTTTGCTTGCTATCTCACCTAATCTGTGACACAGTGTCTGCCTTTGAATTTTGCTGGATATCACCTGATCTGTGACTGAATGTCTGACTTGATGTTTGCTTGATATCTCACCTGATCTGTGACTGAATGACTGACTTGATGTTTGCTTGATATCTCACCTGAACTGTGACTGAATGTATGACTTGATGTTTGCTTGATAGCTCACCTTATCTGTGACTAAATGACTGACTTGATGTTTGCTCGCTATCTCCTCTGATTTGTGACTGAATGTCTGACTAGATGTTTGCTGGAATCTCACCTGATCTGTGACTTAATGTCTGACGATGTATGCTGGAATCTCACCTGATCTGTGACTGAATGTCTGACTTGATGTTTGCTTGATATCTCACCTGATCTGTGACTGAATGACTTGATGTTTGCTCGCTATCTCACCTGATCTGTGACTGAATGTCTGACTGGATGTTGGCTCGCTATCTCACCTGATCTGTGACTGAATGTCTGACTTGATGTTTGCTTGATATCTCACCTGATCTATGACTGAATGTCTGACTTGATGTTTGCTAGCTATCTCACCTGATCTGTGACTGAATGTCTGACTTGATGTTTGCTTGCTATCTCACCTGATCTGTGACTCGGTGTCTGCCTTGATGTTTGCTTGATATCTCACCTGATCTGTGACTGAATGTCTGACTTGATGTTTGTTCGCTATCTCACCTGGTCTGTGACTGAATTTTTGACTTGATGTTTGCTCCCTATCTCACCTGATCTGTGACTGAATGTCTGACTTGATGTTTGTTCGCTATCTCACCTGATCTGTGACTCAGTGTCTGCCTTGATGTTTGCTTGATAGCTCACCTGATCTGTGACTGAATGTCTGACTTGATGTTTGCTTGATATCTCACCTGATCTGTGACTGAATGTCTGACTTGATGTTTGCTTGATATCTCACCTGATCTGTGACTGAATGTATGACTTGATGTTTGCTTGATATCTCACCTGATCTGTGACTGAATGTCTGACTTGATGTTTGCTTGATATCTCATCTGATCTGTAACTGAATGACTGACTTGATGTTTGCTTGATATCTCACCTGATCGGTGACTGAATGTCTGCTTGATAGCTCACCTTATATGTGACTGAATGACTGACTTGATGTTAGCTCGCTATCTCCCCTGATTTGTGACTGAATGTCTGACTTGATGTTTGCTGGAATCTCACCTGATCTGTGACTTAATGTCTGACGATGTTTGCTGGAGGCTTACCTGATCTTTGACTGAATGTCTGACTTGATGTTTGCTTGATATCTCACCTGATCTGTGACTGAATGACTGACTTGATGTTTGCTTGATATCTCACCTGAACTGTGACTGAATGTCTGACTTGATGTTTGCT